TGCTTAAGTTATTTTACAGGAAAGTCTTAATTTGCAAATGTTTTATCTAGAGCCTGCAATTGCAGAGAATGATTCTGAAACCTGTAAAAGCTCGCAGTTCACAGTTTTGAAACGGCTGTTATGGTTATATTGATCATTAAAGATTCCATGACAGTTTACTTGTAGTTGTTACTTCTCCGTTTGCTTATTGATTTACTGATGATGCAGATAGATATTGGCCCAGTATTTGCAATTGATTTCAGTGTCAAAGATATCCTTTTCTCCGTTTTACTAATCATCCAAATCTTATTATTGCCGAGTATGAAGCCATGTTTGTTTGATGATTTTTTGTCATTTTGGATATCTTTGATCAGTCCTTAGCATTCATACAGATCCCGAAGATATTAAAATGGGAAGACTTTATTGTTCCCAGCTCCAACCAATGGAAATGGCAGGTAGCAGTGTCTGCATTGTTTGAAGAGCGACCTGTGTGGACAAGAGATTCCATAGTCCAACGACTACTTGATAAAGGTCTTAAATGCACACATCATATGCTAAACAGGTAAACAGATTTTATGTGTTTCTTATGTGTATTAGTTTTCTTAGTACTGCAATAAATAACTTTCTGGAGTTTCGTCTGCAGGTTTCTTCTTAGGGCTGCATATTATTTTTCGGGTGGTCCATTTCTTAGGTTCTGGATTAAAAGAGGCTATGATCCACGGAAAGATCCTGAATCTCGCGTGTGAGTTCTATCTCTATAAGTTTTTGATATTACAAATGCATGGTCTGTGACACGGTAATGTAGAATTCTCGTTTTGTACACCTCTAAATAGAACAGAAATAGGTCGGTTTTACACCTCTGAACTTCCTTGTCTTCTGCAAGTGTTTCGAGAATGATACATATTCTACTAGGCTCATTTGAGAGCGTATTGATCTTCCAATGCAGAAAGTATTGGTGATGACATTATCCGGGTTTTGGAAACTTACTTGACATGAAATTTTCTTCTGTAGTTCATATTTTCTTGTATCCAGTCTGCAGATGTATGTCAAAGCTCTTCATATCTATCTCCTTTTTGTATATTTTTTTCAGATTCCAGAGAATGGAATTCAGGGTTCCACCTGAATTAAAGGGTTATTGTGATTCCAATGCAACTAACAAGTAAGATTTTCCATTTTCCTTATAAACTCAAAATATTTTTCTACTCAAGATTCTCAATTTGTAATATATATGGACAGAAAAACATATATCATGATAACATTTCTTTGCGAGTATTGATCTATTGTCAATTGTATGAGAACATGATAATTTTGAAAACAATGGGAAATGTGTCTGAATTCTTTAGAAACTAATGTGTCATTTTACGATCTTCAGTCATTTTCCGAGGATAGCAACCTAAATGTTCTCTTTTAACAGTTTCTAGATAGTTTCTCAGGGAACATATCATGAATTTACATAGAGAAATTGCAAATGAATCATTGGATTTATGTTTGTAGAAACGGTCCAATTATAAGGTGATTTTTTTTCTCTCTTATTTGTGACAGGTCAAAGCCAAGCTGGGATGACATTTGTGCGTTTAAAGTATTTCCTTTCAAGTGCCAAACATTTCTACAGTTATTTGAACTTGACGATGAGTACATTCAACAAGAGATAAGAAAGCCTCCCAAGCAGACTACTTGTAATGTGAGTTCTCAGCGTAGCTTTTGTTAATAAAGTAAAAACCAAAATATTTAGCCTCTTGCTTATTGTGTTAACAATGACAGGTAGATATGACATGTTGCTTCATTACAAATTAGTTACAGATCAAACCTATATATACACTTGCAAAAAAGACCACTACCAAAACACGCCTCACCAATCACACAATATATATTGAGTAATTACAGTAATTTTGACTAGCTCTTAAATTTGATGAACTGGGAGATTGTTTTATACTATTATGTGAGGCCTTGGTTATCTGATTTAATGTGTTTTGTTGCCAGTATAAAACAGGATGGTTTTCTGAAGCGCTGCTTGACAATTTGAGACTTCGTGTAGCTGTGAGGTATGTATCTGTGTTTCCGGAGCCAGGTTTTGAAGACGTTTTTAAATCTATTCAAGAAGAGTTTGAGCGGTCAGAAAAGACACGAATTCAGAAAGATGCACTGAATCCATATCAACGGAATCACCAGGAAACAGCTAAAGGTAAGATAGACAAAGCAATTTCAGTTCTTTTCATCTTTATATGTTAGGCAGTCTAGGTAGTGATTGTTGACATGCGTGGAGCCAAGTGCTTCTTTCTCAAATCTCAATGGTCTAAAAAAACTCTGATAAAGCATGGCATTATATAGTTACTTACGACGAATTTGTAAGTAAATATATAAGGGGGCACAATCACTTGTGCCAGCCAAAATCAAATGATGCAGGCATTGTATATTGTCATACATCTCATGCTATGCTTATCATCATTTGTCATCAAACACATTCTCCTTACAAGAAGTATTGATGTAAAATAATCCGCAGATATGAAGAAGCGTAAAAACACAAACAAAGAGAAAGATAGTAATGTTAATGCGGATGACGATACTGAAGACGTAGATGATGAAGACGAGGAACTCAATGTGGTAATCATGATTACGAACTTTTTTACTTTCACCCGTTAGTTTTCCCGAAAGGCCATTTCATCGTTTCTCTGTTACTCTAATGTGCTCATTTGCAGGCTGCAAATGATGATGAGATATCGATTAGTTCTCATGAATGTATCCTTTAAAAGCATAAACTTTCATAACATAAGCACCAAATAACTAGTACATACAGATTATAGGGAATTAGGAGACAATTTAGAGCTTGATCTGGTTTGGTTTAAGTTTTTCTTAAACAATGATAAGATGGTGACATGGAGAACAACTCCAGAACATATCTGCAAGGTTTGTTCAATAGTTTCCCAAGCAGCGCACCAGCTTTGTATGGTAATGCCAATGATGGTAGCGATGGAGAGTATCCGATTTACGAGGAAGTATCCAACGATGACGAAGACGACAATGACGAAGACGACGATGATGAGTGAAGAAGTTTGAATATAATGTGTATTTGCAATGTAATTACGAAACTCGGTTTGTGTAACTAATGTAAAGTGATAACATAAGGATGAATTGTAATTTCATTGTGCAATTAAAGAGAATCTAGTAAAAAATTAAAATTAAAGGGTTAAAAAGTTGAATTATAAAAACATAAGATCCATTATGCAATTAAAAAGAATCTAGTTATATTAAAAGATTAGATATGCGAATAATCGTCACAATCTCTTCCTCATATTTTATTTATCTGGTCTTATAAAATTGTTATTATACCCTCTCTGAATCTTGAGAATGAGTATGAGCCACGATTTTGATAACTAGTTCGTTAGGGGTATTTTGGTCAATTGACATGTTCGTTGGCCCATCTCCGCCGCACACACCACTCGTTAACCGCCGTAACAACAACCACCGGCCTCGTAACGCAACCGTCACCTCCGCTTTACCTGATCTATTTCTCGCGGCGGTCTCTCTTCTCTTCCTCTGGTCATCTCCTAAACCTCTACTCTCTCTTCCTCCTAACAGATTCTCTTTCCCTCTAAATCCTCGCCGTCGAATCACCGCCATGTCTCGCCGATCTCCTCCTCCTCCTTCTCAACGCTTCGCGAATCCTCAATCTCTCTCCGATTGGCTCGAATCAAGATTACCTTCTGACTCTTTCGCCGCTTGGGGAGTCAAACCGGGAACTAAAAACGTTCATAACCTCTGGCTTGAACTCTCCGACGGCGAAACTTCTCTCGCCGATTCAACCCCGCCGGTACGCACCGTCAACGTCGTCACCGTTCGAGTAATCGGAAAAAACGGACGAATCCTAGTGGAAGCTCATCAGGAATTATCCGATGGGAGTATTAGGGATAGATTTCGTCCGTTATCGGAGAAGATGAAGCCTGAAGAATCTCCCGATGAAGCAGTGTTTCGCGCCATAAAAGAAGAGCTCGGATCTATCTTTAATGGTGATGACGTTGGACAGAGAATTAGGATTCTTCCTGGAACTTACAGCAGAAGAGTGGAGGAAAGGAACTCGCTGTCGTATCCAGGATTACCAGCGCGTTACGCTCTTCACTCGGTGGATGCGACGGTGGAGGGATTACCGGAGGAAGATTTCTGTACGGATGAGAAAGAGTACGACGGTGGAGACTCGACGACGGAAGATTCGGTGGAAACACGCGCCGCCGGAAAAGCTGTAACTGTGAAACGGCATTACTGGAAATGGGTTAGTCCTGATTCGATTCGATCCTAAAACTCAACAAGCTTTTTCACAGTTTTATCAATCTTGAAGATACATGAATAATCAGAGCCATGTAGAGATACATATACACATTTTTATATATGTTCATAATCATCTTCTTCGTTTGGCTATGTTTGAGCTAATGGATACTATTCTCAGAAGTTTTGATTTCACTATAGCTTATATGTGAGAAAGTTGATTTATCATCACTGAATAGAAAAGAAGTTCATGAATACACAAATTGAGACTGTTGTGTGTTCTTCCGATTTTCGAAAGCTTAACCGCGACTCCATTGTTTTCCCGCTTCTTATGGATTACTTGGACCTCTGCAAACACGCTTATCCGGTGATGGATATCACCGCATTAGGTTATGACATCGATTAAATCAACTAGTTGGTGGTGTGAATCACTCCACAGGTTCCAAAGATTTGGTAATGCGTTAAGTAGGCATGCGTTCGAGTGGAGAGTTGGGAATATTTGAAAGTTTCCAAGCAGCTTGTGCAGGCAGTTTTGTTGCCGCGCCACGAGCATTCGAGAGAGCCCTTCATACCAAATGTTTGAACTTTGGAGGAATTTCTGTTTTCCAGACCGCAGGACCTCCATACTAAATATCTCTCATCACTTGAACAATGCTAAATCAATTTATCTGGTACTTTGTACTTTGTGCAGTAAGATACATCAAACTTCTTTTATGATCGTCACTGTAGCTTATCTTCTTCAATTTCTTTAGTTGAGGTTTTGCCAATCTTGTTAACTCTTCTTGCAAGTCACAGAAACGCAATAGAAATGTATGTAATTACAGATCTAAAGTAGATTCTAACTAAAACTCAACAACAAGCTCCAAAACTGTATGTACAAACAAAAGTGTCACCAAATCTAACACCCACTATGTATGTGGAATTAGTAGTACAAGAACAGCTCCTAGTAGATGATACAAAATTGAACTGTATTAATATATCAATTTGTTGGATCACTGATGAGCTTGTGTTGATTGGACTTGACGAACGAATTGGCCTTTGATTCGCGGCCGTTGCTCTGCCAGTTTCTTCCGGCTCTCATAACGAACCTGTAAAGTCATTCAAAGGTTCCTTTAGTATCATTCCATTATGAGTTCATGTCATCTATGTGATGGAAACATCGAAGTTAGTTTTTACCTTTTTCTCAAAACATCTGTCCTTACGCTTCATCCGGAATTTGGTTAAAGCAGCTTCCCGTTGAAGAGATTGCTGAAATTTCCCGACAGACGATGAATACCCATCTTCGTTCTTCTTCTCAATAAGCTGATCAATGTGATTGCCTATTGCACTATGTTCGGTTGCAGAAGAGACGTATCTCCTCTCCTCTACATCCATGGAACCATCCCGGTCTTGGAAACCCTCGGGTTTACCATTGAATGGGTGAAACATGGAACTGTATTCATGTGGGCTAACGGAGCTAGGGGTTGGGGAGACTGAAGCAGGAGCCATTGCAGATGCATAAGCTGTGTTGGGACCCCTGAACTGTATATTATTGATGGGGGTTGGCGTTGGGTAAGAACCCTGTCCTGGCCAAGAATTCATCTGATTACTAAACGGTGGACCCGGTGAGTCAGCTCCAGTGTAAAAGCTGGTGTCGTTTCTTCTTGGAGCACTTGGAGGTGGTTCAGATGTATTGTATTGGTTGATTAGCACAATGTTATCATCTTGACTTGCCGCAAAATTCTTTCTTTGATCAGGAACCACCGGGGAGGCCGAACATTGTGTCTGCAATGGCCTGTGAACGTACCTGAAACAAGAACATAGCACACACAATCAGCAGAAAGAACGACAAATATTGAAAGATTAATAGAAAGAGGAATTCAGAAATCAGACAACTCACCGTGTGAAAGCTGACGCACTAGAAGGATGAAGAGAAGGCCGGTCTCCAGAAGATTGGTTCTCGGAAGGGATAGGTCTACTCAGAGAGAGATCAAGCTCTATCCGAGATTCGTATTGGGCAGCACTTTCTTCTCTGTTACGTTGTCCAGTTCTTCTAAACGATGCTCCCATCAAGTCAATGGCCTTTTTCGATGAATCTATAGAATTTACAAAAACATGTAGGTCAATCAATGATTCTGATGAACTTTTTAAGAGTCAGATAGCTTGCCAAAAAAAAATAAAAAAAGCTTGCTTACTCTGCATCTCATTTGCTAGAAGCCGTGTCTCATTGAACTGAGACTTTGCGCACTCCATCTGTACTGCATCTCTCGCGTTGACCTCCACGTCTGCGCTCTCGCCTTCCATCTCTGGTCTTGTACACGAGCTCTACAAGCGCAAAAAATAACTAAAAGTTTAGAAACAAACACTAAGAACCTGAACCAAATTCACATGTGGAGAATCCACCATTGAAAAAAATAGTCCATAATCAGAAACTAACCTGAGCATCACCACCATTCCCAATTACGACATGCTCTTCTCTCTTTCCGTTCGAATTGTTTGCAGAGGCACCCTCGGGTTTCTGCTGTCTCTCATCCAATGGAAAGCTATCAGGAGCGAGTGACTGTAAAGATGATCAAAAACAAAAACAAACAAAACAAATCTGAGAACTCAATCATCTTTTCAAGACAACGAAATTTCCCAGAACTTATATAAGAACGGGTTCAAGTTGTCGATTGCTCACGACACATCAAGCTTAAAAAAAGATGGATATGAAACATACAGTTTGTCTTCTCCAGACATGTTGCCAAAGATTTCTCAGCTCATTCCTCCTCAACGGCTTAACAAGATAATCAGCCGCACCTTTCAACATACACTTATACACAGTATTCACCGAGTCCTGTGTCGACATCACTGAAAAAAAACAATACAAGAAGGCGATAATGAGCCAAAAATCATTTCAAAACGATGGAAAAAAAAAAGATGTAAATATCACCGTACTTATAACAGGAATGTTCTTGCAGATATCATGCTCCATGATAAGTGTTAGCAGAGCGTAACCAGAGATCGAAGGCAGATCAACCTCTGTTAGTATCAAATCAACGCTTTCGGGTTTTCCTTTAAGCATCTCCCAAGCCTTTAAGCCATCAGGTACAGCAGCGACTGATAATACACACAAAAACCAACCACATTAATAAAACCTTTAAGCTTGTTGTAGAAATGAAGTGTTGATGAAGACTCAAAAGATTTATATCTGAACACAAAACTCAGATTGACCCCAAAAAAACATGGTTCTTGATCTATTCTAGGAAAACTCTTTCACATGCTAAAAATAGCAACAATTTCGTTACTTAGACAACAATCTTTGTTCGTGTCCGAATAACATCAGATGCAAAACCGACAAAAACCGTTGACTTTGAATTGTAACATTCCAAAGCATAATTTAGCCGCACGCAAATCAGATTCACATCATTCACAGTTCTCAGATTCCATGAAAATTTTCCGATGTTCGAACAAAACCATAATCTCAGGCAATGAAACCAGAAACTGACCTCTGTAACTACATTTCCTGAGAAGAGCAGAGATAATCTGTCTAGTCGAATCATCAGCTTCAACGAGCAAAACTCTTAGCGCGATTTTCGGGAGAAATCTCTCCCACTTCACCAAACCATCGCCGCCGCCATCAACGGCGTCTTTCTTCCTCATCTTCCGCCGTGATGACTTTCCTCCGCTAGCCTCAGCTGCTTTCACCACCGTAACTTCAACAACTTCCTCGCTACTCATTATCACAACACAAACACTTGAAAAACCTAAATCGATTGAAGAAGAAGAAAGCTCCAGAGAAAGAGAAACAGTTACAAAACAAATCAAAATATTTGTGAGTGGAGAGATAAAAGAGAGAAAATAAAAGTCTTTATTCTTCTATAAAATTATTGTGAGGGAAAAAAAAATATCTAGAAAAAATCTAGCGAATGTTTTAACGGTTGAGATTGGATTTGGGCGGTGAACCGACCATGATCTAACGGTTGTGAAAAGGGTAAAGGGGTTTGAAAAATATCTAGTAGAATTGGCTGACGTGGCCACGTTTGCCACATCAGCAAAATACTGTATACGAGACAAAGAGATCCAATACGTCAAATAACCTTTTTTAAAAAAATTGGTGTGGTGGCTAGCCTTTGGTTTTGCTCTGTGGTTCATATTTGAAGTTGGAATTTAATTTTTTTATATTTATATCAAAGTATTTATTGCTTATTGATGCGTATGTATTTGTGATGTAGAAATATTTAGTGAATTGCTTGTTTTATTATATGAGAGATTGAAAATTGGAGCTATTACTTATTTGATTCTTATTAGTGAACTAATAGACCTAAAAAATCCCAACTTGTGACTTTTGGGATAATATCAAAGGCAAAAAATATCTAATGCTAGTGGCAAAAAAGTGTCTATACAATTTATCCAAATAACTATTGTATTGTCTGTTTGGTATTTAGGTTTGCAATTTATTTATTTTGAAAATAAGAAGATTATTTCAGTTTCTTCTTTCACAAAAGAAATCAAAGGCAGATGGGTTTTAAATCTTAACAAATAAGATTTTTTTTTTTTTTGTTAATGAATTATACATATATTTCAATTTATTTCTTTTTCACAAAAATCACTTATTACACCAAATTATTAGTATAAGAATTAGAAAAAAACAATGATCACTAGTGCTAATTGCTAATGTCATACTGTTATTGTTTTTTTCGGCTAGCCATATAAAATCAAAATTTTTAGTCACAAAATAATAACACGTAATATTGATTTCATTAGAAAAGAAATGGAACAATCAAACAAATGATTATCGATCATACATTCATACCAAATTTTATCAGCATTTTGGTTTTTTTCTGTTGCTACTATTTTGGTTGCGTGGTGGATTGAAATAAAATCAAATGGAACATGCACGAGTCAAGAGTAGGGACACAAGGGTGATTGAGTTTTAAAGTAAATTTCCGGGACTAGATATTTTGTTTGGTGGGATAAGAAGAGACACTTGTTTAAAACCTCGTGGTCTTTGGTGGATAGGAATATGACACGTGTATGGTTCTTATCTGACACGGTCTTTCACCTTTAAATGGTAGCTGTCACTGTCAGAGACTAAATATCTTCTTTTTTTCCCTGTCTCTTCACGCGCCCGCGAGTTGGACAGATAGATCATACTCGCTCTATTTTTCCTATGACTTTTCTTTTTTTATTGACCTACTATGGTTTATTCTTCTCCTAATCAAACTTAGTAAGATACTAGTAGTAGGTAGGTACTATATAAAAAAAGATAATTAGAGCATTTTCAAAGGCAATCTCAAATTTTCAAATATAAAGTTTTTGGTTCTTCATAGTCAACCTCAAAACCTCAAATTTGAGGTTTCATCTTTTTTATTTGTATTTTGGTCCTCATAATTATTTATATCTTAGAAATATTTTTACTAATTTATTATTTTATCATATTAGTCCTAAAATTTCTATGTCTTATAAATAGAAAGTCAATTTTTCATATAAAATAAAGAAACACTTTAAAATAATATAAAATATTACATAACATTAAAAACAAATATTACACAATAACAATATTACATTAAGCAAATTTATTACACAAAATAAAACAAGAAAAGAAAAGAAAATTACATGAAAACATAAATATTATACAAATTATATATTACAACAATATTAATATTCAGGTAAATTTGATCCCAAACCTCCAAGATCACCAAAATATGGTCCATAAAAATTTGGTGAAATTGGAGATTGTTGTGGTTGTTCTTGATTTCTTTTTTGTATGATTCTTGCTTGTTCAGATCGAATATACTCATGAGTATTACTATCAGCAATAGTGTCTAAATCTTTTAACAAGATTTTATTCTCCTCGTGCATTTCTTTTAGGGCTAACTTTTTTGCTTGATTTTGCATACGCAATTCAGCTAGCTCGTAACTTTTTTGCCCTAGTTGTTGCACTTTCTTTAAGAAATCTAGGATTTGTTTATTTGAAGAAACCAAAGTGTCAACAGATGAATTATTACCTTCTGCAATCTTTCTTTTGAGTTTTACTTTCTTCGATCCAATGGGACGTTGTGATGAATTTGATCCACCGTCTTCACTGCTTAAATTGATTGAAAATGATGACATTCCCGGAGATTGTGATGTTGGAGAACTGGCGATATCGCTCTCGGTGTTAGGAGTATCTGGAATACCGACGCTAACATTGTCTGTGAACTTTGGGATATTCTTCAGCAAATTCCATACATGGTCGAATTTAAAACCTTTCTTTAGTTTCTCAACTTGTACCAACAATTTCTTGGCTTTTTCCATCTGCATAACATTTAGAACAAAAAATTTAGTTATTTACACAAACATATATCATATATAATTAGAGTAGAAAAAATTATATACTTACAATGTCAATTTCCGACGCACCACTTGGATGCATATTCTCCACTTGGATTATGCAACTCTTCAAATTCCTAACCGCATAAATAATAGTATTCATTCTACCTTGTAGTGACCTATTGCTTCTAATTTCCCAACTCCCATTTTTTTTACTATTGTAACTTTTTTTAATTTTTTCCCATAATTTCCCTATAGCTTGGTTATTGCTACCAATGGGATCTTGGGATATTTCTAAATATACACGACACAATAACTCATCTTCTTGTTGAGTGAATGATGAGCCTCTACTTTTTCCATATTGTTTATAAAATGAGTTGTTTGAAGTGTGATTTTTTTCATTGCATGAAGTGTATTATTTATACACAATAATGGATGTAAAAGATTTCAAATGAATGGCTACAAATCAATTTTCTAGATTTTCTTATCAAGTTGGATGGATTGGATATGATTTTAATCCAACGGCTGATAATATGAGAGATCTAATGGATGGTGTAGATTAAATTAGAAAGATTTCCTTATCTTCTCAAATAAAAAATATATATCTATAAAAATGTATACATGGACGTTTCACAAACATCACAACATCACAACTTAGTAAAAATGAATTTTAATATTGGAGAGCCATCTTCTTTTATAAATTCGTCTTCTTCTTCAGACTCATCTGAGTTTGATGAATGGCTGATGAATGAAAATGCATCAACAGAGAGAGAAGAACAAATTGCGGCAAATTTGTATGTCAACAACAACCACCTTCTTCACCAAATTACTCAAGAAAGCGATCATGTAAGTCATCGAGGCTATATTCATGATCATGCAGTTATACAACGTGATAGAGAAAATGCTCATCTTAATTTGTTCAATGATTATTTTTCTAATAATCCTGTGTATGGTGAGAGAGAGTTCCATCGTAGATTTCGAATGTCAAAGAGGTTATTTCTCCACATTGTTGATGTTGTTAAACAACATGACAACTACTTCACCCAACATCGTCTTGTGACTGGTAAAATGGGCTTATCCACCCTCCAAAAAGTAACGGCTGCTTTTCGGATTTTGGCCTATGGTATGCTTGCTGATGCTGCAGATGAATACCTCAAAATAGGAGAGTCTACAGCAATTGAATGCATGAAGAGATTTTGTCGCGCCATTGTAGAACTGTTCTCGGAGTGATATCTCAGGTCACCAACATCAGAGGACGTTGCCCGACTTCTCAATATCGGCCAACAACGTGGATTCCCTGGAATGCTGGGTAGTCTAGATTGTATGCATTGGAAGTGGAAAAATTGTCCAACTGCATGGGCAGGACAATTTGCAGGCCGTAGCGGATCACCCACAATAATTCTTGAAGCTGTGGCAGATTACGATCTATGGATATGGCATGCCTATTTTGGTATGCCAAGCAGCAACAACGATATTAATGTTTTGAATTCATCTAACTTATTTTCAAAACTTGCTCAAGGTATCGCTCCTCTAGCTAATTACATTATTCATGGACAAGAGTACACCATGGGTTACTACTTAGCTGATGGCATTTATCCGAAATGGTCAACTATTGTTCAGACTATAAGTGATCCTCAAGGTCCAAAGAAAAAATTATTTGCAGCAAGACAAGAATCATGTCGGAAGGATGTTGAACGTGCGTTTGGAGTTCTACAATCGAAGTTTGCTATCATTGCAGGAGCAGCACGTTATTGGAAAAAAGAGGTATTGCATGATATAATGACTGCATGCATTATAATGCATAACATGATAATCGAGGATGAACGTGATATCACCGCACCGATTAGAGAAGCAAGATCAGTACCAGAGGCAACCGTGGAAATGACAATAAACAAAAATACTCGATTTCAACAATTTTTATCTCGTAATCTACAGATAAAAAATAAAGAAACTCATCTAGCTCTTCGAAATGCATTGATTGATCATATATGGGAGCATTACGGAAATAATTAGGTTCAATAATTTGGTAATTTAGTTTTAATTTGAGATTTCGTTTGTGTTTTTATTATTATTTTGTGTAATTTTATTTTATAATGTAATATTTTATTAATTAATAATGCTTGTAATATTTTTAATGTATGTTTTATTGTTATTTATAAAAGTTTTATGATTTTATGTAATTATAATCAATAGCAAGGACTATTATGCAAAATACAAATTATTTTGAAGTTAAATTTGAGGTTTTCCTTTGGAGACACACAACCCTAAACCTCAAATATAAGGTCCCTTTTGGAGATGCTCTTAGTGTGATGACCATAAATCAACAAATAATGAAATTGCCAAGAACTTCATAGCCAGGTCGTGGTTTAGTTCCTTATTATGCGTTAACAGTTTGAAAGAAATTGTCACTATGTTTTGGCCGGTGTGTCATATTGACAAATGGAAAAATTAATGCTCCATAATATGAGAACTAAGTCGATCGATGATAGGTTTTAATGTTGTTGGACGAGTTTAACATTTTTTTACTATATTGTTGCTGGTCACATAATTGACAATTAAATAATTAATATAAAATAGAAATGATATATAATCTTTTTTTTTTGACATCTTTAGATTGACAAGGTCCGATCCATAGCCAATCTCTACTACGTGGGGTAACGCGATTTAGTGGAGTCGAACTCCGGTGGGAAAGACGGAGTCAAGTGGACTTAACCACTTGACTAAAAGCACATCCCCAATGATATATAATCTATGATATCCTTTTTTGTATTATTATTTCAACAGCAGATAAAAGTTCTACTAGTGAATCAATGAGGGTTTTTTTATGAAGAGTATATGATTTTTTTTGGGCAAACAATAGAGTATATGTTTCCATATGTTTTAAATATGCATAATGAATTGAAAAATAAAAGAACATTATATTCTTTAAAAAAAAAAAAAAAAAAAAAAAAAACATTATATGTTTACGATATAATTCATATGTAATAATGTCAAATAATTCTAGCGGATAAACCATATTGTGAAATACAAATAATATAGTTTATTTTTTGTAATTCATAACTATGAAAATGGAGAACTAACGTGGTGTTGTCCCAGTGGTAAATATTAAGGTAGAAATGTTGGATTCGACGCCTGTTGGGAGAGATCTCTTCTCTAAAGAAGATGAATTTAATCTGGTATAAATCTCATTTTTAGAAAATGTAGGATCTTTGGGTTTGAACTTTCAAATAGTTGTGATTTATCAAATAAGCATTATAGAGTAGTGATTACTTTGCAGACAATACTTGTAATTAAATGTTTAAAAAATGAAACTTCTCGTCGATTTTCATTTTTTGAATAAATCACAACTATTTGAATTTTATTAATCATAAAGAAAATATGTGGCCGTAAAATTAAAATTAAAATATAAAAAAATAAATTAAAATACAACTAAATACAAACGATATTTTGAGACAAACTTTTTACTGCTGTCGATCAAACTTAAATCTACTTTCAGGCAGGTACTCTCAGGCAGGTAGATAACCACAATTGACTAATAACTAATAACTCAACGACATATATAACTAAATACAAAAAAAAATGTGGATGATGATACTCCACGCACCAGTGTTGAAAGTGTAGTGGATTCATGACTTTTGGTAAGGAATAAAATCTAAAGATATTTTGGCCTAACTTACACTGAACGTGCTCCATCTTTTTTCAAACAGATATTTTTTGTGTGGCCAACTTTGATATTTGATATTTCATTTCTTTTTTGTTCTTTAGAGTCTGTTTATGATATTTTTCTTCATTTTTTTTTATGCCACTTGAGATATTTCAATGTTAAAATATCATACGGCTAATGGCTTTGATATTTCATTTCTTTTTTGTTCTTTACAGTCTGTTTATGATATTTTTCTTCACTTTTTTATGCCACTTGAGATATTTCAATGTTAAAATATCATAGCTAATGGCTTTGTCCATTTTATTCCAAAAAAATTAAGCTTGTTGGTATTAATGGGCTTCGAAACATCCACAAGTTACAATCAGACGTATCTTTTTTTTTTTTAGCATCTAACTTCTTTTTTTCATCTAAACTATATTAATAAACCTTATTAGAACTAAAGATGATTACAAACACTTAAAAGAGGAAAGCTAAAGCCAGCGGACGACGAACAAGTCTCCGGAAACAGCCGGAGGAAACAAAATTTCTCCAGAAACTAAAGCCCTATAGAAAGGGAAACTAAAGATAACAAAACCACAAAGCAAGAAATTTCAAACCAAAATCGAAAGAGGACAAACCCTTAACCTAAGAACAGAAGCAAAAAAGCATGAACCTTAGAAAACACACTAGACCTAAGAAAGCAAAAACCTCTTCTCCTGAAGCTCCTGTAGAAAAAATTTATCACGGGTGCCCACGGCCAACCCAAGGATAACAACTACCACCTCCCATCACGAAGAGAGCCAATCTCTCGAAACCTAGAACCAAGAACTTCATAACCCAGCAAGCAAACCACTTATAAGGCCTCGAACAAGCTTCTAGATGCGATAGCGACGTCTGATGCGCCCATTAGCGTCTAGCTAGAAGTCTTCAAAATGTGATCCATTCAAAACAGAACTGGAAAGCAAAGTACAAGGAGCGAAGCCTAAGCCCTCGATTATCACCGCTCTCAAATATGAGAAAGACAATAGATCAAGCCAGCTATCTACCACAGCGAACAACATCAACACCAAGGAGAAGAGAGAGTACTGCAAAATTAGAGAACTAACACAACTTCAAAACAAAACGCAGCCTCTGCTTAGGAAGGGAAATAACTAAAAGGGAACAGCTGGCTGAAACGAAGAGACAAGGAGTGAGAGGAAAGACAATTGTTGGACGGTGCTAACGAAATCCCACAACCATTCCACAACGGCGGCTTAGAAACAGAGATAAAAACGAGACCGACAACAAGAATTGAGACAGGAACAAGCAAACCACAATGGCATTATTCATCGAACCAACCGTTGAACTAACAGAACCGGCATCACCATATTTGCTATAAACAGAGAACCCAAATATAACAAGCCGCTCTGACCGCTTCCTCAACACACTCAGAAAATCAACACTCAAATCAAACCAAAAGACTCCCCAATCGAAGGTCAAAAAATCCGCAAACTACACTAAACCAACCAACGGAAGATAATAACAACTGAAACAAGAAGAGAGAGATGGGTATCACAAATCCGACAAGGAGCAAAAGCGAGAAAACGTTTCCACACCTCGTAACCACCGGCAACCAATCCAAAGACGAAGCCCCAAGCAAGGATCTCCACCACCGATTCTGGTAGTAGACACCACCTTCCACCATAACCAAATCTGAGATCTCTGCTCTCAACGAGAAACAAGCCTCGAGGAGGAGAAGGAATCACCAGGACCAGAGCACCACTCTAACCCTCCTCAGACAGGAAGCATCGCCGGGATCGAACCACCGCAACCTAGAAACCCAAGTCGCATTCTTGATTCACCAAAAAAGCAGCAACAAAATGGACATGAGAAGCAAAGGCTAAAATAAAAAAAAAAAGACGGAGAGGCCGGATCCGGTGCTAGGGAATCCACCGTGATCCAGCCTCCGATCTGCAAATTTTATTTCTCCGACGGCTGATGAACGAGATAGAACGAAACTAGGTTGAGTTCAGGCCTCCCGACAATCAATCATTCAATCATTCAGGCCTAGAAACTAAAGTTAATTGAGCGAGACGAAAGAATATACAATATGTAGATGAAGGAATAGTGATATCAAATCATGGTAGATAAAAAAAATGTTGAGTTGCCCCGATGTTTTAGGTTATGAACTTATTTTTTTAGTCAATTCCATCTTTGCTCTTTGATTGGTAACATGAATTGTCATTGCGTTAAGTTGAGTTATTGAGTTAACATTTTCTTACGATGATTAAGATCACTAATTGTTATCTCAAACTGATGATGTCATTCTCACGATAAAATTCATCCAATTACATTGTATTATTAATCTCGAATTTTGTACAGTCAAGTTCAATTTTTTTATTATTTATTCTTCATATAATTCGTCTAAACCGATATTGCAAGATTGATAATACCCAAAACATTAATATTACATGATTTGTATTGTCTAAACTTGTATATTTTAAAAATTTCACAATGAAATGTCGTTCAATGAAATTTTTAAAAAATTTCACTTCTGATAACATATTGAACTTCCAATTTGATTAATTTAATTAGAGAGGTTTTAGTTTTACCGTAATTAGTATATTTGACACATAAAATGTGTTTCTTCCTTATACCTTTGATTAAAAGATTAATGACAACATAGTAGACAAATCAATATATAATTGTGTAAGTGCGGATGAGATAAGATAAGTTACAGAAAGTAAACGAGACAAGAAATTTGTTAACGAAGTTCGGTTTTTCCTACTCCCCGGGACCAAATCCAGATTTCGATTTCACTAGAACAAGAAAGCAAATTACAACCAATTCGCAAACGCGTAAAACAAGCCCAACCCTCTTGATTTACCGCTCCCTTCTATAACAGGAACCTTATAAGGATAATGTCTACCCTTAACTAAACTCCCCCTGAGTCTAGATTTAATCAGGATAACCTGACCTTTAGCTAAACTCCCCTTGAGCCTAGACTTCAAAACAAAACCACTTGATCACACAAGCACAAATCCGCAAACCTAAGTTGCACACAATCTCACAGAAAGCTCTCTAAGATTTCTTCTTTATGCCTCAGTTTTCTTGCCTCCCAAAGACGTCATCAGCTCTTCCTTATATAGCCAAAATGATTTCCGAATCACCATAGGAGAAGATTTCCAATTTCCATAAGAAAAAATAAATTTCTTTTTATACTTTTCCTTTTTCTCATCAAACTCCACTTTCATCAAGTCTTCCAAATCTCTTTAAGTCTTTTTTTCTTTGTGATTCATCCTCTAAATACGCTCCAAACATATCTTCTCGAACCATCTTGAAACCGACACTCACACAAAAACAGTCGCATCTTGAATTACTTCTTGACTCATTCAACAACTCCACCAGACAAAATCTTGTATTTTTTCTTGACTCATTCAACAACTTCATCAGACAGCAACTACATCTTCATTCTCCCCCTTTTTTACTATGTTTGTGAACTCAACAGTTCTAACTCCAAAACATCATCACGAAACACATCATCATTCTCCCCTTGAATGAGTCACAACAAGGTTAAAACTACTTGGAAAATTCTCCCCGCTTTGCAATACGAGGTTGATAGCCTAGTATACCACCTCCATAAAAATCATCTTTCCTAACCCAAATCTTGTTGCACCTTATACCTTCATTACTGGATTCTCGAATGAATCTGAAACAATTTCTCGTAACATGTCCTTGAACTCCACAATGATAACATGTAGGACCATAAAATCTCACATCATAAGCATTCTCCATTCGATTTCTCTCCCTCAACAATCCGAAACACCTTGGCGTAATATGCCCAATAACACCACAATGATGGCAAACAAGTCGAAAAATTTGTTGAGGTGCATTTTTCAATTCTGGATTTTTTCTTAAAACTGTTGCAGTCTGTGAACCAGTTAACGTAGTAGTTCTCGTACCAGATGCAGTCTCTGCCACAGTTGCAGTTTTTGACAAACTTCGTGATCCAGACGTGATTTTTCTACCATAAACAAACACTGGATCTGATTTTGAAAGACTTCCTTTAAATCCAAGGCCACACTTATCTCTCTTGCCTATATTCAGAATATGATCCAACTTCTTTGTGCCATTATTAAGCATCCTCAAATTCTTTTGAGTTTCTTCAAGTTGTACTTTAGCTTGTGATGCTTCTTCTTCTTTTTCTGCAGCATATTTATGTGCTTCAATTACTTTAGCCTCTAACTTTAGTTTCTCTTTAGTTAACACTGAATTCTCCTCAACCATTTAAGCCAATGCTCATATAAGGCTTTGTAATTCTCTGTATATTCTTCCTCATCAATACTCTCTGCATCACTATCACATTCATTGCTTTCACTTTCAATTGCAGGTCCTGTTGCAGACACTGATGCAGATCACTGATGCAGATCCTATTGCAAACGCTGATGCAGACCCTGTTGCAGACCCTAATTCAGATGTTGACGCAGATTCTATATCTGAACTAGAATCGAAAGTTGTAAACGCCACAAAATTCTTCAGATCTTCTATTTCTTCATCTGAATCAGTTTCAGAATCACTAGTGACAACATTCATGGCCTTATTCCTATGTTTTGTAGATTGGCGCATTCCGAACGAACATGTCCATATCCTTTGCATTCAAAACTGCACATTCTTTGATGAACTTCTCAACTCTTCATCAATTTTATCCTTCTTCTCTTTTTCCTTTCGCTTCAAATATTTAGTAAAATGTCTTGACACATAGCCATTGAATCTTCAGTTGATGATCCCTTAAGAGCAACTCCAATGCCAATTTTCTTCTTCACTTCATCTACCTTCTTCATCTTTCCTTTAGTTTCATATGCTTTACTTAACTCAAAATCTTGAAGAATCCCAACAAACTCATCAAAAGCCATCTCATCTAGATTATGAGCTTCTTCAACTGCAAAAAAATTTGACTCAAATTTTACAGGTAATGATCTCTTCAACTTTTTCACCAGCTTTTTATCCTTGTAAAGCTTTCAATGAGCAAACGACTCATTAGATATGTCACATAACTTGGCACTGAAATCAGCAACAGTTTCTTCTTTTTCCATCCTTAGATTCTCAAATTGCGAAGCTAACATATCCAGTTTTGTTTTCTTAACGCTTGTAGTGCCCTCAAACATATTCTCCAATGTCTTCCATGCTTTTTGAGCTGATGCACATTGAGAAATTAACTTGAAACGGCTTTAATCAATTGTATTGTAAATCGCAGTCTTAGCCTTAGAATTACAACTTGATAGCATTTTCTCTGCAATAGTCCACTTATCTCTTAGCTTGAGACTTACAACTCTGTCATCATCCGTAATTTTAGGAGTCTCCCAACCAAGTTCAATCGAATTCCAACAATCTTCATCAAGATTACTAATAAAACTTGCATACGGACCTTCCAATATCCATAATTTGCTGAATTAAGAAGTGGTGGTCTTGTCATAGACATACCTTCCTTGTATGAATCCATAACGAACGATTCTTAGCTCTGTTTTAATTCCCGAACGATCTCTTGAGCAATCTTCTGAACAATCTCCAGAACCTCACCTTTTTTTTTTTCAAACAAGAAAAACAAACTCCAGAACCTCACCCTTATCTACCCGAAACAAGACTAAATCTCTATCAAGAACCCGCTCTGATACCAATTGTAAGTGCGGATGAGGTAAGATAAATTGCAGAAAGTAAACGAGACAAAAAATTTGTTAACGAGTTTTGGTTTTTCCTACTCCCCGGGACCAAGTCCAGATATCGATTTCACTGGAACAAGAAAACAAATTACAATCAATTCGCAAACGCATAAAACAAGCCCAACCCTCTTGATTTACCGCTCCCTTCTATAACGTGAAACCTTAAAGATAATCTCTACCCTTAACTAAACTCCCCTGAGTCTAGATTTAATCATGATAACCTAACCCTGAGCTAAACTCCCCTTGAGCCTAGACTTCAAAACAAAACCACTTGATCACATAAGCACAAATCCGCAAAACTAAGTTGCACACAATCTCACAGAAAGCTCTCTAAGATTTCTTCTTTATGTCTTAGCTCTCTTGCCTCCCAAAGGCGTCCTCAACTCCTCCTTATATAGCCAAAACGATTTCCTAATCACCATAGGAGAAGATTTCCAATTTCCATAAGAAAAAATAAATATATTTTTATACTTTTTCTTTTTCTCATCAAACTCCATTTTCATCAAGTCTTCCAAATCGCTTTAAGTCTTTTTTTCTTTGTGATTCATCCTCTAAACACACTCCAAACATATCTTCTCAAACCATCTAGACACCGACACTCACACAAAAACAGTCGCATCTTGAATTACTTCTTGACTCATTCAACAACTCCATCATACAAAATCTTGTATTTCTTCTTGACTTATTCAACAACTTTATCAGACAGCAACTACATCTTCAAATTGTTCCAAATTGAATTAGTAAGCATGCACAGTTATTTTGTTAGCTAATTAATGACTAAATTACATGCATATACAAAATAAAATAAAGTGTAAGATAATCAGAAAAAAGTTTTTTCACATTTATTCTCTATTAACGGCAAATTAAATCTTAATATGTATTCGACACAAAAAGCAAATTAATATCTACACTACTTATTTCAATAAGTTGTTTTCATACTAATCTTTAATGAATTTTTTAGAGGTTGTTATTTGTGAAATTCGGTACAATCTCTTTAAATTTCTTTGGATTTTTCTTCTTTTTTCGTGATTTGATTCTTTCATTTCCTTTTATTGACCTTAACTTGTGGTTGAATCTTTGTTTCTTTACCAACATGGTCACAATATTCTTTCATTTTTTTCAATATAATTCTATAGAAGAAATGGGATTGAAAACTCGTCGAATCTCTAAGTTTTTTAGTTTCATCAAAACTTCATATAGTTTTGGAACACCTCATTTATCCTTAACATCATTTGGGTGCACATCTAATGAAGATATCTTGGTCGATATTTTCTTGCGATATCACTTATGAATTTTCTATTAATGAAAATTGGTCAATGAAAAGGTTTATGATCGCGAGTATAGAAACTAAATTAATCTTAATTATAAGTTTTTTTTTTTTTTTTTTTGAGCAACAGTAATGCCAAAAGAAGGGACCGTGAATGCACATCTGAAAATAAAAGGGACTAATTTGTAAGAAATATAAAGAAAGGGGTTCTTTTCATAAATATAAATCTTCTCGTTTTGCATATGTCACCATCCTTATCCATTTTCTTCTCCTTATCCAAATTTTTCCACTTCCTTCCTCACTACTTCAGTCTTCAGTCTTTACAAAGGAAACAAGGACCTGTGAACCTCTCTCACTCTCAAATGGCGACGCTTTTAGGTTTCTCTCAAACGAAGTTTCACCATTGCGGCGTCTCGATTTCTACGCCGCCGTGCTCATCTTCTTCCACGGTGGTCTCAATGGTGGGTTCGAGCCGGACTGATTCGAAAAAGCTCCGGTCAGATTTTCTTGGCCATATTGGTTACGATGATCGGAGACAAGTAAGACCCAGTTGCTGTAAAAGCTCATTAGCTGTGAAAATGTCGTGGGACGGTCCTCTCGCTTCCGTCAAGCTGATCATCCAAGGAAAAAACCTCGAGGTTTGGATTCTGCTACTACACGCTTGAATTTGATTGGATTCTGAACAAAAATGTTGAATTTTTTTCTGGGTTTCGATTATTGAGAAGTTGCAATTAGGAAAGTTTGAAACTTTCGGGAGATGTTTCGTGTTAGGTTACTGTACATTGGAAGAGAAAACTCGAGTGTTGTTGAAATTATGGTTTAGTGATCAGCTATATTATGGATACTGATACTGTTAGGTTTAACTTAAACCGTTTAAGAGAGTTACTCTTGACTCTTAGTCAGTGGAATTTATGTGTTCAACATTTTGGTTTTGAAAGGTTAAGTTTGTTGTCTTCAATCATTTGGTTAATTGTGTCATTGTTGTGACAGTTATCAGAGCCAATCAAGCAGCATGTTGAAGAGAAAGTAGGGAAATCTGTTCAGAAACACAGTCATCTTGTGAGAGAAGTTGATGTAAGACTCTCTGTTCGAGGCGGAGAGTTTGGTAAAGGCCCTAGGATTCGTAGATGCGAGGTAAACATGTCTTTCTGATCGATATTGAAACCCTTTCTTTCACGTCCATATCCACAAACTGTTATTTTAGAAGCTAACATGTAGTTCTTCTGGTACTTAAGGTGACATTGTTTACAAAGAAGCATGGTGTTGTGCGTGCTGAGGAAGATGCTGAGACGGTATATGCTTGTATCGACTTGGTATCAACGATAATACAGAGGAAGCTGAGGAAGATCAAGGAAAAGGACTCAGACCATGGGAGGCACATGAAAGGTTTCAACAGATTGAAGGTAAGAGAACCAGTGATTGAGCCGGTTGTGGAGGATGTTGAGGATAGTACTGACTCGAGCCTAGGAGAAGAAGAAGAAGAGGATGATTTGATCAAGGAGGTTAGTCCAGACTTACCTAATACCTTATCATTGGTGTTTGCTGATCTTATGATGATGTTTTTAATTATTGTGGTTATCTACAGATTGTCCGTACCAAGACTTTTGAGATGCCACCATTGACTGTCGCTGAGGCAGTCGAGCAGCTGGAACTAGTCAGTCATGACTTCTATGGCTTCCAAAACGAAGAAACTGGTATGCATGTGACATTTTATTTTCTTCCATAAATGTTTGATTGCTTAAACCGCAGAGGAGTTCGATAAAGATCGAGAGGAATACTTACATTTTGATATCGTTTTGGGTTGGCAGGTGAGATCAACATAGTGTACAAGAGAAAAGAAGGAGGTTACGGTCTGATAATCCCAAAGAAAGATGGGAAGGCCGAGAAGGTTGAGCCGCTTCCAACCGAGCAACTGAATGAACACTCTTTCGCCGAGTAGATTGTCTCTGCTCACATCTAAACAGATCAGTTCGTCTCTCCTTACAGTTGCTTGTCTAGGAGTTAGGGTTCTTGAGAAAACAATGAAACAAAGATTGTAGAAGTCAGAGCACATAAAAAAAGGCCGACCACTCTTTGTATACTTTTGCGGTAAAAAGAAATTGAATCTGAAGATCTTAATTCTCTTTAAATCAGATGATAGCAATACATTTTTCATAAACAAGAATGTGACATAATAATCATACAACAGTTATCATCATATACATAAATGCGAAACTTAGTTTGGTTTAGTGACTGTTAGCCAAGGACCGATGACCTCGAGCCTCTGCTTGGCTGTTTTTCTTACTTGTATGTATACCGAAAGAACCTTCTTTTCTAGGTTTAGAGGGCAACCTGGTAAAGAGAAGAAGAGATGACATTAATATACATTAGGACTAGGAGCCATTGATTAACACAGTTAATGAACTTGCCTTCGGCTAACATTACTGCTTTCTGGTTCATCATGAATCTCTTCGACGTGATAGCGTGGATTCTGCAATGAAGATGAGACATAACACATGTTATTAGCAACACAGTTCGATTCGCATCACATCGATGAACACTGCAGAGACCTTATTAAGAGCATTAAAGAGCAATATTCATGATCAAATGAGCAAAGTGATACTCACATTGTCTGAAACTGATGTTGAAATCTTCATCTTCTTGCTTTTCCGAGCAATTTCACCATCATCATCACCGACGTCACATTTCCTCTTTTTCTTCTTCTTCTTCTTCTTCATCATCTTCTTCGTCTTCGAAACAACTCTTGATTTACCTTTCTTCTCCCTCACTTTCCAAACATTCCTCCTCCTGAAAACAAGTTTCTCAGATTTCCAAATCTTAAAGCTTGTATCAATCACCGTCACTTCACTCCTCGAAAATCCAACTAAATCCTTCTCTCCTTTCTCTTCCTCCTCATCCACATCCTCATCTTCCGCTACACTTCTTCTCCTTCCCCTAATCTCCGGCGCCGGAGTTTTCTTATTGTACGAACTACGCGATGATGAAGTAGCGAATTCACGGACACTTGGAACACAATTCGCGTCGTTGCTCTTCTGATTTACCAATGGAACAACGTCGTTAGGAGTGTCTAAAGAGCAATGCCTAGGGTTTGATTGTTTCCTTGGCAACTTCTTCTTCCCGGGAATTGTGGAAGATTTAGATGAGCCACCGAAATTGAATAGTTCGGAGAGAACATCGCTCATCACGCCGTACCATTCTCCGGGAACTGGCTCTTCGGATGGACTTTCAGCTAATTCTGGATCTGAAGGAACTGGAGCAGATGGAGGTGAATCGGAGGCGGAACTAGTGGCGGTGATTTCGGTGTGGTGGTTGCGGCGGAGAAAGTCGTCGAGAGTAAGTGGATTGCCAGAAGCATCGTCATCTTCGGTGGTGGAAAGTCCTCTGTTTAAACGGAGGCGGTTGAGCCAAGTGGAAGCGACGGGCTTGTCGTCGATGATGGAGCTGAGCATCGGAGACGACGACGATACAAATCTTGGCTCGTCTTTTTTTTTTTCCTCTGCTGTGAATTTAAAACAGTGCGCCGTTTGGATTACAGGAAAACAACAATTACACATTCTGAGTCCAACTACGCGTCGTCTTCTAATTAAATGGTTTTACATTTAAAAAACAAATTAGATGAGTTAATTAAGGTGTGGATGAAAAAAAAAAATAACCAATTCAAAATTTTGACAAATCAAATTAAAAATGGTCTTCATATGGTTTTGTTTTCATAAATCCAAATTTACCAAAACCAAAAAAAAATGGAGAAAAAAATCATCAACAATAGACCCTCTATAAATTAATAAAATAGCATAGTCCCAACGTTATTAATTAATAGAAGTTTTATTGTATGTTTTTCGTTGTATATATCTAAACAATAGCCAAAATTAAATCTGATTTATTTCTGTTATCTCATCAACAATCAAATATATTGTAAATAATCAAAATCTAATCAAATCTTCATACCAGGCAAAATTCATAAAATTTGGAAGCAAATAAAAAAAGCTTCATATGAGGCAAAATTCATAAAATTTGGTCGCAAATAAAAAGCTTCTCAAGCAGACAAGACAACGGTTTCGCTTAGAACATACAAAAGAAAGTAAATCAATAGAAAGAAGAAGAAGAATCTCTTCTACTCAAACAATCCGATTATCAGACCATCTCCAATGTAAAGCTCTATATTTTTGCTCTAAAATAGAGTAACTTTATAATAGAGTAGAATTCTCTCCAATGTATTACTCTATTCCTTACTCTAAAATAGAGGTAGTGTAAAAAATAGAGGAAAATTATAGAGTTGCTCTATATATAGAGCAATCTTCACTTTTGCTCTATTTTAGAGTAGAATATAGAGTTGGGTTGTGATATGATCATGGAAAGCACAAAAGACATGGAACGTGATAAAGAGCTTGTAGCCGAGGAGGAGCTTGAAGCAGGGGAGCCGCTTGAACCTGAGGAGCATTTTGAACCAGAAAGTGAGCTCGTACCGGAGAAAGAGTATGGAAAAGATGTTATCTTAACCTCACTGGTTTTGATAAATGATCATCAAATGGGCATGTGTCTCATTTGTACTCTTTTTCCCTTGTCAAGTTTTGTCCCAATGGGTTTTCTTGACAAGGTTTTTAATGAGGCAAATGATTCACATTCAAATCACCCATTTGTTGATCCAGCCCATGGAATAACATTCAGAAGACTACCCCATGGAATATATATGGAGTCCAGCCCATTTTATGACCATTACAAGCCCAAGAGGAGCCCAAACCAAGTACTTAATTTGTTGGTCAAGAGGAGTGACGAAAATAGAAGTTCAAGGGTCATCTTTGAAGCCAAATGGTCTTTTCTATTCAAATTCTATCTTTAATATTTTGTTAAGTTTCTAGGCAGCCTTGGAGCTTGTTCCAAGACTTGTCTTTCTACATTCTCTTCTCTCCTTCTCCTTTATATATTCTCTTGTAATCTCTTATGAGAACTTATCTTTCTTTTTATCAAAAACCTTTTCTAAGAAGATCATCTTGTTGGTGCGTATATCCCGCAAAACCCTTAGTCTCTTTTGGTGCGTATATCCAAAGGATCTAAGTTTCGGTATCGTGAAGCTCTTCCGCAAGCTTCTGTGATATCCATCGATCCATTCTCTCGTTTTTGAGTCGTGTGTCGCCTCTAACTCGAGATCATCTATCCACCCTCACGGCTTCACAGCCACATCTATCCCTTTCTCAACTTTAGAGTGCCGAGTCCTCGGGAGGATCGTGTCAAGTGGTATCAGAGCACACTCTGAAAGTTGAGTATTCTATCTTGTCTGTTCATCTTCTTATTCCGTCTGTCATCTTGTTTTAATTTTCATAAATAATTGGTATGTGCTAAAATCGCGAAATCAACTGTCACGGGTTCGAAATCGAGTCTAGTATTTGTTAAAATTGTTTCTGGAATTTTTCTGCGCGATTTGATAATTTTTAGTCTCCGAACAAGTGAAACTGTCCTGATTAGGGTTCTAGAAGAATTTTGTGGCAATTGAAGAGTCATTTCGTGTTTGTTTCAAAAGAACTAGTTACTGGTGTTGTTTTGTTGTTTCTCTTGCAGAAAGAATGGCTGAATCCGATGAGGAAGAGACTAGCCACAATCGGAACAACAAACTTTTGATTGAAGCTATGAAGAAAATGATGAACACCGAATTGGAAGCTTTTCGCCAAGAGTTTCATCAGAATTTAAGATCTCCAAGGAGAAGCCAAGAGCAGCATGAGCAGATCATGTATCAAAAAGATGCAAAACCAAGGCGACCCCAGGAGAAACCTAATTGGAGAAGCAGATCAACCAAAGATCAAGCAAAAAGTTACTACCACAGTCGTGATGATCAAAGACGTGTTGAGAAAGCTACACCGCAACATAATGATGTGAAAGAAGTTAAGGCCGTGAAGCAAAGCCAAAAGGAAAGTCTAGCCTTAGCAAAAGAACAGTTCGAGGATGAACTTCTGAAGATTCTCAACGCTTACAATAAACCCAAGAAAGCTAAGTCAACATCTCAACCAAAGATGGTCACTGACGAAGTTGTAGTTCACAAGCAAAACCAAAAGGAAAGTCTAGCCTTAGCTAAAGAACAGTTCGAGGATGAGCTTCTGAAGATTTTCAACGCTTACAACAAACCTAAGAAAGCTAAGTGTGTTCTTCCTTCTAATTCAGAAAAAGCTAAGTTTGCTCTTCCTTCTAAATTTGTGAAAGATACGTGTGATCTTTCGGAGAAACTTGATTTTATGCTTAAAAATGATCAACCTTGTGACAAACTAATCCTTTCCAAGCCGGTGCAACCGAGTAGTACTTTTTGTTTTTTCACAGGTTATTGAAGAAGAATCTCAGGAAGAAGTTCAAAGGAGTTTGCCATCAATTGTACTAATTTGGAGCAGCAAACTATCTTTGTTCCTGAACCAATCCTTGAGTCAAATGAGCATTATCAAAAGCACTGTAAGGAAGTTGATTTGGTTACAAAAAAAGCTTAATGTGTTTGTTTTGATTTCTGCTCAAGATGAAAAACAATTTGGTTTGGAAAATGTGAAAGAATTTCGTATTTCAAAATCTGTTTTTGACAAAATGATTCCAACTTTTGATACACTCACACTTGAAAAGCTCTTTAAGCCAAGATGTTTTCTGTTTGATGAGTTTCGTGAATTTAACTCTTCTTTGAGAATTTCTTTGTGTAGCAAAGCATTTGAGTTGTTTAGAATAAAAACCGAAAATGCATTGGTTAAAACTTTTTATGAGTTGCAAGAATCAAATCCGTTCAATGAGCTTTGCAAACCAACCTTGAAGGATTGTGTTTTTGGATTCTCTATTTCAAGTATAATGCATTTGTTCTGTCCCATGAGTGCTGAAAAAGGAACAGGAGCTCTGGAGAAGAATAACTACATAGGAGAAGTGACATCAAGGAAAGGCACATTCAAGGTTCCACTCCATATCCATGACGACTTGAGGAGAGCTGAAGGTGCACTGAACATATTGACAATCAAAGAAAAGCCGCCGGATTTGCAGCAGCCTCAATCCATTCGCAAGGAACCCAAACCAGGAACCATGAGCAAGACTAGAGAATTAACTCAATCTGAAGTAGTTCTGGTCCACAATCGATTATCTAAAGCTGAATACAATATTGTGATCAAGGAGAAACCACCAGATGTTACACCACCAATTAAAACCCGAGGTAATTATCTAAACTCCCAAAAACGAATGAAAGCTAATTTGCTTTCTCTTGGTGAAGGTTCTACAATTTTGAGACCAATCAAGAAGACTATTGATCGAGAGATTAGCACTCATCATCGGAGTCGATCCAGAGATCCTCGTAAAGATTATGAATGTCAACTTTGGCTACAACACAATGAAGAACGCATAGGCAAGTAATCAAATTTCGTTGTGAGGGTTGGTGATGTTAAGAAAGCTGTGTTATCAAAACACCAAGTATTATTACTTAATTATAAGAAAGCTCTCATGAGCTTGACTAACCCTACACCGGTGCTGCCGAGTGAGATGATGTATGTTTTGCAGGATTATGAAGACATGTTCTCCGAGGATAAACCTATATGACTACCACCTATCCATGATGCATCTCAAAGCTACATTTGGAGACCAGGAGACTATATAGGACGTTCAATACCTGAACCACATGAGTCTTTGGTCACTTTACTTCACATGTTTCCCGAGGAGCCTAAAATGGATCTTTCTTCATTTGGTTCTTTCTATACCTATCAATGGCGACCAAGAGAGTTGTTAGATAGCTCTAGACAGGAGGAGTTGGTCACCAACAATGCATTGATCCAAGAAGAACCACCGGATCCAACACCACTTTTATTAATCGTGAAGATACCAAGCACCGAACACACTGCGAACCTTATTCAGGCAAGTAACTCTTTCACTCGCTTTGTGTCTCATGTTACAAGAACTGTTATTATGAGTTTATCACATCTAGAAAACATCGAGAAAGAGTTAGATTTATTTAAAGAATATTTGGAACCAAACTCATGTCTTAGGACGAAAGTAGAACATGAACATTTCAAGGATAATGCATTGATCAAAGTTGAGACATGCTTACTTGTTTATAGTGATTCCATGACTGTGATAACACACTTTCTCTTTGCCAAAGCTGTTGACAACATTGTAGGTACAAAAGAGGAGCCATCGGACTTAGAAGTTCTCTCGTCTAATTTCTTTGTGAGAACTGGCATTGGAGATGTTGTGATACAGGATAAGAAACCTATTGCTTATTTCAGAATGATCTTTGAGGTTGGAGAACAAGTATGGGTACACTTGAAGAAGAAACAATTTCTAGCTGAAAAGAAGTCCAAACTGATGCCAAGGATCAATAGTCCATTCAACATAAGAAGACGAACAAGCGACAATGCTTATCAACTTGATCTGCAAGGTAAGTGTAATGTGAGTTCCAGTTTCAATGTTTCTAACTTAGTTCCTTTCATCGCAGACAAATCGGATTTGAGGTCAAATCCTTTTCAAGAGGGAGAGGATGATATGATCATGGAAAGCACAAAAGATATGGAACGTGATAAAGAGCTTGTAGCCGAGGAGGAGCTTGAAGCAGGGGAGCCGCTTGAACCTGATGAGCATTTTGAACCAGAAAGTGAGCTCGTACCGGAGAAAGAGTATGGAAAAGATGTTATCTTAACCTCACTGGTTTTGATAAATAATCATCAAATGGGCATGTGTCTCATTTGTACTCTTTTTCCCTTGTCAAGTTTTGTCCCAATGGGTTTTCTTGACAAGGTTTTTAATGAGGCAAATGATTCACATTCAAATCACCCATTTGTTGATCCAGCCCATGGAATAACATTCAGAAGACTATCCCATGGAATATATATGGAGTCCAGCCCATTTTATGGCCATTACAAGCCCAAGAGGAGCCCAAACCAAGTGCTTAATTTGTTGGTCAAGAGGAGTGACGAAATTAGAAGTTCAAGGGTCATCTTTGAAGCCAAAGGGTCTTTTCTATTCAAATTCTATCTTTAATATTTTGTTAAGTTTCTAAGCAGCCTTGGAGCTTGTTCCAAGACTTGTCTTTCTACATTCTCTTCTCTCCTTCTCCTTTATATATTCTCTTGTAATCTCTTATGAGAACTTATCTTTCTTTTTATCAAAAACCTTTTCTAAGAAGATCATCTTGTTGGTGCGTATATCCCGCAAAACCCTTAGTCTCTTTTGGTGCGTATATCCAAAGGATCTAAGTTTCGGTATCGTGAAGTTCTTCCGCAAGCTTCTGTGATATCCATCGATCCATTCTCTCGTTTTTGAGTCGTGTGTCGCCTCTAACTCGAGATCATCTATCCACCCTCACGGCTTCACAGCCACATCTATCCCCTTCTCAACTTTAGAGTGTTGAGTCCTCAGGAGGATCGTGTCAGGTTGGAGAGAATTTTGCTCTATATTAGAATTTAGAGAAAAAAATAGAGTGGGGTTGGAGATGCTCTCATGTAATCTTCACTCTCTTCTTTGATCTCCTCCTAAGATTATTAAAAAAAATCCACTATTTAGTATTGATTATTAGTTAGGTTCTAAATAATAAATGTTAATATGTTATTCATTATGTGCGAATAAAATATTATGACATAATGTCCCACATCGGAAGTTGGAAGGGATCCTAAGTAATATATAAGGGATATGGGCCACTCCACTCATTGCCAATTGGTTTTGAGTTGGAAGCCCATATTCTAATATAAAATACCTTCTCATTCTTCTTCTCTTGGGGGAGAAGAGGCTGATTGAGAAACGGCAGGAGCAGAAGCGGTATCTGGACCAAGAGAACCACAACCACAACCACCTGCTCCTACATTCATGATGAGATCGTCGATGTTCTTCTTCTCGCAAAGCTTAGCAAAGAGGCTAGGCCAGTATGACTCAACATTCACGTTGGCTTTTTTCACCAGTTTGATATGTTCTCACCCTAATAATATTACATAATTACAACACTTGGGTTGGGTGAGATGAAATTACAAATTTTAAGCATCGTGGCGTTGTTTATGGAAATGGAGACGATTCGAGAGACTAAAACATAAGCTAAAGAGATCTCTCAATAGCTACAAAACAAACTTGAAGAGAAGAAAACTAACGGTGATCTCGATTCCATCACCGTGGAGGATGAGAGCCGCATAAGTGCAGGCGAGCTCACTGGTCGACATTCTCTACCTTTTAACCTCTTTGCACTATGCTTGTACTATTATCGTTTGCATTTTAATATTTTGAGGTCTTAGCCTATATACTTGGGGTTAGGATTTTGTAAAATTGATCCCATCTCATAAAAATCTGACAAGTAGCTTAATCTTAACTGTAACTAAGATCAGAACATATTTAAAAATCACATCTTGATCACACAAGTCAAAAAATTACATTTTAGATTATACATATTTTCCTAAATCTAAAAGATTTCATAAGCTAAATTTTATATATTACTCATTTTATAAATGAAAAAATGAGTATTATGTTTTCCAAATCAATGCTCAAACCATAACTAGAAAAAAATATAAACAAACACATTGAGATTATTAGGATAAATAAATAAGATCTTTAGGTATGGTAATGATATCGAAATTAAAAGTAAGTTTTGCTTTTATTGTTATGTAGATTTTTAACATTTTGGTTTAGGGATTCTTATATTTCTAGAGGAGATTATTAAAACAATGATTTAAAATTAATTCCCACTTTTATAATTTTCAAGATTGAAAATTCTCTCTTCTCTCACTAAAATCTTTTAGAGAGAAGATCGGTTTTGCTTCGCCGACCGGATCTTTTCCGGTGTTTGTCGTCCCGTTTTTTCTGGTTTCTGTCTGGCATCCTCCGGCTTCCGTAGAGGAGATGGCTAGCTATGGTCTGGCTCCTATTGGCGGCATTGGCCGACTTCTGGTTTATGATTCCGGTGGCTTTCATAGCACAAGAGTAGCTTTTTGTTTTTAATGGCTCGACACCGACGGATCTTCTTTCCTTTTGGTTTTAGGTTTTTAATTATCATGGGCTTTTCAATTTCTCTGTTGTTTCTTTTTCTTAATCGCCGGAGATCTCCATGCTCTTATCGTATCGTCCCTTAGGTATCATAGCTCTTGTTGTGGTAGGTGAAGCGGTTTTGGGCAGCCTATTTTTAGGTTTCCTCCACTCGATCCAACTCTCAGATCTGGGCGAGATCTGCTCAGTTCTTGGCTCCTCCCACCGGATCTAAGTCGCTTAGTTCGACAATTCCGGCCCAGGCTTCAATCGACGGTTTCATAAAGATTTTAATTTTCGTAGTCTTTAAATCACCATGCGAGGAAAGAAGACAAGAAGATCTATTATGAAATTTGTCAGTTCCTCCGATAATTTGCGAACCTTCTGTTCTCGGATTTCATCGGCGTAAAGAAGAAGTTTGACACTAGTGATTTTGTAAGCCTAAATGTTTAATTTGGGTTTTCGTTCCGGGGTTTCAATCCTGCCGGTTCAGTTTCCGGCGGAAATTTTCGTCGGCTTGAAAATTTTGTGTGAAATTCAATAAAAGTTCTTCAGTGAGAAAAAAAAAAAAAGATTGAAAATTTTGCTAAGATTTATAAGACCTTATGTGTGAAGATTCTAAAATATTTCTCATACCTTGGATTTTGTTTATAATAATTAGTCAACAAATTTCATTAGAATTCATTAAATTTTTATGTCAAATATATGAAGAAGTCAATTCAAATCTGTAGCAAATATACAAATAAGTCTCCACTGAAACTAACTTCAAATTTGTGTCAAATATGAAAAGATGTTTACTTAAACTTCATTGGAATTAAACTTAAACTCAAATCTCCATTGGAATTACTTAAACTCAAATCTCCATTGGAATTTATTCACTTCAAATCTTTGTGTCAAATAAGCAAATAAGTTAATTTCAGCTCCATTGACAAAAACATAAAAGCCAACGAATCGCTTTAGCCGCTAAAAAGTAGAAGCTGATATATCTTAAAGACGTCCAATAAAGTAAGACAGGGTGCATTGTACTAAGCTTACCGATACTAAACACCAGAAACCACAATATATTCTGGTTAGGTTTATACACAAGATGAGATCATAGTAGCATTTGGTTCATCAAATGAATTCAGTTTTAGTTACAATCAGAATAGATACAAGAAGCGAGAGTGCGCATGCACCAAACCTATTATCTTACGCACATGACGATTATACAGGTCTATGCTAAAATCCGTTGATCACTTCATATCTGCACCTGACATTAAGTGAAATGGATTGTAATTATAAAGAAGTGTTATTTGATTTTCTAGGTTGCATGTGTGTATATATACACAATGCTGTTGTCTAAATTCTCTAAATGAGTTACAAAAACCTGAAGCCCACATACAAAGATGTTCGAACCAGCATTTCATTGGTTGTAGTTTCCAATTCCAATTATATGACTATGAGGACAAACAGCAGAGTTAGACGGAAACAATTATCAGATCCTTGGTTATCCTAACCGATATTTGGATTTGTTATGTAGCTCGTGGCTCATCTAAAGTACTGAAGAACTATGGTTAGAAGTTAGAACCCAATGAATGTACAACTAATTCATCATATTGGTTAAATCCAAGATATTACTACTAATCTATCAGCCGTTACATCAAGTGTGAGACCTAATGCTAATACGAGTCACAATATGACTACTAAAATGTGATTTATATATGCATCAGAAAGTAACTGATTTCAACAAAGATACTGAATCAGGTTAATCAGAAATGGACTATAGTCTACCTAAAACCCGAGTAGTGTTAAATCTCTGGCAGCTTTGCAATCAAGAATCGAAAGTCTAGCTACAAGCCTACACGACTATCTGTTATGACTATGCAAGCAAATGCAGCAGGATCTAAACCAATAATCAATGCTTCCTCATCAGAATTTAGACCTAGCAATTGAGATGATCGATTTCATAGTTATGTAGCAAAGCAGAAACTCTAACCTCAAACTCTAAGGAGCTGCATTTTGTTAGCGAAAGCAATGCCAATCCAATCAGGCTGCGAAGAAGACCACTGCAACTGGTTAATCTCCGAGCCAGCCGAATAAACCGACATCGGATCAATCCCATTCGGTCCAGCTACAGTAGGAAGCTCCCAAATAAGAGCCTGTGTATCATCACCACCAGAGCAAATATGTTTACAGCTCTGTGGCGCCCAAGCTATAGCATTAACACTAGCCTGATGCCGTTCAAGCTCCGCAACAGGCATAGTCGGCGAACGAATATCGAGTATCACAACCTTATTAGAATCCATCAAAATCGTCGCCATGTACCTAAGATCTTGTTTGTTCCAAGCAAGTCTTAAAAGAGGCGTATCAGGCTGCGGACTCTCGTAAATGATTGTAGAATGTTCCTTATCGCGTAAATCAAAGATCCTAACGGATCCATCGGCCGAGACAGATGCGAAAACCCTAGCTTCTCCCCAAGCAATGTCATGAACCTCTTTATCATGAGCTATGAGCTGAGTCTCAACAACAGACTTCTCAATATCCCAAATCGTACAAGTCGTATCAATACTACAAGTTCCGAGCCGTTTCGGCTCCACATCGTTCCAATCAAAAGAGGTCAACGGAGCACAAAACTCACTCGTCTTGCTGTTGTTGAGAACCGAGATCGGCTCAACGGTTGAAGAATCTTCGTTAATTTCCCAAAGACGGAGGAAATCGCCGGAGGAAGCGAGTAGATCTCCGGCAGAAGGACGACGGAGAGAAGGAGGACTGAACATTAGCTTTGTTGGAGGATAAGGATGTTCGAAGGAGAGATTTGGATGAGGCTTCACGGTCATGGAATCGGAATCGAAAGAGAGAATATCGATGCGGTTGTTGTAATCTTCGAGGAAGCTTCCGACGGCGATTCTGTGACCGGGGGATGAACGGAGAGAAGAGAAAGCCATGGCGTAGAGTGGATAAGGTGAGTCGTATGTGACGGCGGTTTCCGATCTGGATAACGAATCTGGAGCTGAGTTATCCATGGAAATGAGTGATTCTGATTCGATTCGAGATTTGGCTTCTTCACGACGAAAGTGAGAGGAGAGTTTTGAGGTCAGTGTCAGTCAGAGACGGAGAAAGAATCAATAGAGACGGCGTAGATAAACCCCCCTCTGGATTAATCAATGTTTCTATAGATAAATGGGCTTTTCTATGCGTATTTGGGCTTTGAGTCTTTAGATAATGGGCCTTTTATTTTAACGTTTAGAGAAGAACGGCCTAATTATAGGATCAGTAATCTTCACTAATCACTAGGATGACATGAAAGACATGAAACACTCAAAAGACAAGATTAATCATTTTTTTATCCAACAGCATAATATTAATTTAACGGTTCAGAGATCTAAACCGAAAGAACCGGGTTTACATGTATGATCAGTTGCGGATGAATACATGCATTCTTTTTTTTAAAAAAAATTCAGGATAAATCTCTAGAACTAATATTTGGGGACAAGATGTTTCATAGGTAAAGCTCCTCTCCTCTCTCAAATTTTCAAATGGGCTGTAAATAATAGATCAATATCCATGTGGCTAAAAGAATAAAACTGAACAATCCTGCGTTTGGAGAGAATTGATCCATGGTCTAAAACCAACAAGGTGATTCTTCCACCAGATTAGAATACCATTTCTGGTTAAATATACATGCATCTTATGCCCGCAAGCGTGTCTGCTCTAACATTAACTCAACGAACAAGTAAAATAGAAAAATTAGAAAATTATTCTTCTCAATTATATTTTCTCGAGATATGACGAAAATATTGGTCATTTTTTTGGTGAAGATACAATTTAAAATAATTTGTACCAAAAAAAATTATATTGTTCTGATCTGCTTTCAGATATATTATTTTTTAAAGTAATGTTTTCATTTCCGTATGCAGTGACCAGTGAGAATAGGCTTTGTCGAAGATTATGTGCTTGACTTGAAACTGTAAAAATTTTACTACAAAATTTTTGTGTAGCAGTGTTACTTGTAATTGTAACTTTTGTTGCTGTAGAATTATTGATGTAAAGGAACTGGTTGTAACTGCAAGTATCATCTAGAACTCCTATAATTATCATCACGAATTCATATGACTATTACTCGTTCTTGAAGGACGAGATGGTTGTTTTTTCAAAAAATTTTGATGAACTATGGAAACACAGATTTTAGATTTGTTTGGTATCAACGTAATGAGTTTTAGAAGCTCACGTGTGATGTATATTTATACTAACGTTTTTTTTTGTTTTTTTTTTAGAGGGTGATTGGATGAGACTTTTAAAACTTTAAAAAATTTTAAAAGTCTTTTTTTCCCAATTAAGTTTTTTTAGTTTTAATAAATTTTAAAGCTTTCAAAGTCTCTTTTTAATTTTTACTCTTTACTTTTAGTTTTTTTTTTAAAGTCACGTAAATGAGACTTTAGAAATAAATAAACTAAAAGTTTATAGTTTTTTTTTTTTTTTTTTCTCATATGTATGTAAACCCTTATAACTTTCACAAATAAATTAATTTTTGAAAAATTTCAGTAGATTTACAATTAATTTTTTTCTCTTGTTATTTTAAGATCCATTTTCCCACATATTTGGTGGTTATTTAAAATCGTAATTTCTAAAGTCATAGGTTTTACCAATCGGTTATAAAAGTTATACAGTCAAAGTCTTTACAGCCAAATTTTCTACAGAGAAAGTTCTTACTGTCAAAGTCTTTACAGCGAGAATTAACAGTCGTTACCAATCGGCCCCTTAAATTTGATAACTACCACTTTTCTAAAACTT